GTTATTTGACTTGCAATTTATACGAGGTAAAGCACCCGAACAACTTGTTTTCAGCGGAAATAGCTCGTCAGAACAGCTGGAATACACTAACCACACGATGATGGATTGGTAACCGAACCCTGTCCGATCATTGACACTTATTTTATCTAACATCCCATTTGTATCCCACTTTCCCCCCGCCCTCTCTCGCTGACTAGGTCATTACTGTCCTGTTCTCCGCGTTTGTGTTCTACGACATCTTTTTCGTATTCATCTCACGCATGTTCTTCGCGGTAAGTACTTACTGTTTTCTCGCGCACTTACTCTGCACACTGATAATGCTTAAATTTACCTACCCGTTAGTTCGTCTCATTCGTCCCAACGATTGTATTTCATCTCTCTGTCCCCTCCTCCTTCCGGAGGAGGGGCTGTTCGTTGCTTCAACCTACTCAACTAGTGATTCTTCTCGGCTCATATTGTCTGTGTGTTTGGGAGAGTATTTTTTCGGCCAGATTTGACAGCTCTCTGTGCCTGTCAAGTACACCAATTTGTCCTCTAAACGCAGTACCGTTTGCTAATCGAAGGTTGACTGTACACACGCACGCGTGAGAGAAGGTTTTGAGATGGGGTGGAGAGGGACGGACATAACATTCCCTAAATGCGGTGAATGCCTTTGAACGTTCCGTCTCAGTCAGAGTGAAGTGAATAAAATTCATCCGTTCTATTTGGGCGAACAATCGTGCGCCGAGAATCGGGGTAAGTAGACTCGTTTGATCATACAACTCCATCGATCGAAAACCCAGGTAGAACATACAACATTGATTCATTTACACTTTAATCCGGGGAAACTCGATAAAAAATGGCAACTGTGAAAAACATATCACTGGATCAGTTCAGAGGGGAACAACTGGAGTCCGGACGAAACGCGTGACCACCGACGAGGTGGAAAATGATATGAAAATGCTTGTGGCTTCAAGATGATCGACTTTCGTTCGTCAGATGTCTAGACAATTCAGAGGCGGCGCGGGGGGGGGGGGGGGGGGGGGGGCGGAGTGAGCAAATAGGTTGGTGAGTTTTGATTATGCTTTACCATTTGACATAATTTGGCTGGAATAAAGTGCAAGTAGGCCACAGCTGAATTTTCAACACAGCAGTGTGCTTCCGGTCTGTTGAATCATCCGTTAAAAAGAAGATATAGCCTTGGCGGAAAATCACTCTAATTAGCGTCACTTATAGGTATTACCAACTCTGCTGTCTGCAGCAGATCCACATCGCATGGTTACGAATCAGGTTAGTTCTACACCGAGTTGAGACAGGATTGCATCCTTCTACCTGTTTTGAATGACGTAATAGATATCATTCTAAAACCAACTCATTCTTTGGGCAAAAACTTGCCATCTAAACTGTGCAGTAGAACGATACTGTCCAGCGGCGACCCTATCTCGGTTATTGGGTTCGAAAAGGTACGATGACTGGTATATTGCTACCAACAGGCACTTACACACACACATGGTGCTTCGCTTAGTCCTAGGTCAACCACAAAGCAAATTCATTCTGTGTTATTGGATGTGAACTCATCATGCCAGGTCATACCAGGCTAACGTATCCACCCGACAGAAGTGGTTAATTCCATTTTGTTTTATCCTAATCTACCCATTAGTGGGAGAATTTCACGCACTCACACTGAGTGACGTCACGCATTTTTTTGTGAACAGTGAGCTTTAAAATTTATCAAAAATTAGTTTTTACCATTATTTTCTTTCAAAAAACAGCCACATTCGGCTGATCCAGCCCCGGTGACCGAGACCACAGTAGTCCGTACAGCTCGTTCTGCTCAGAATCAAGGTTTCATGGAGGCCGTGGCATTGGGTACGGCCGGTCGCAGTGGCGAATCGATCCCTGCCACATTTCGATGGCGTCTGCGTCACACCGTGGGTCAGTACGGTTGTAGCTATCGCGACGACAGCATGTTGCTCGGATTCGGCGATGCTGTCATCCCCGGTGAGTGGTCTCTGTAGTTTGTTCTCTTACTCATGATTGGTCAACGTGTTTTTTGAATCACAGTTTTGTACCGTATTTCGTAATTCAAAACCAGTGGCGTTGTTTTTTTCTAAAAATCTTTTCATCTAATCTTAACAGGTCTACGGGGTTCGATCACTCAACGCTTGACTTAGCTCTAGATCGAGTGTTGATCGTGAACCCAAATAATAAGCTTTCATATTTCGTCTACCATATGCTGTAAACGGACTTGTTCACACAATAGGGCCCCATTTTGTGATTGACAATTTCGGAATAAATAGTAACCCATCGGTGGATATCTTCCAGTTCGATGGAGCGTCACAACTGGAACGGTGATGTCAGTTTATTGATATCGCTTAGTAACTGTATCAAGCAAGTAACGCGGCACAAGGGTCTTTAGGACCAATCATCATCATCAACGTCGTCGTACACCGAAATACAGTGAGGCGAAATTCACTGATCGCTGCCAAACTCGCAATGCATACAAGGTTAGTGGTAAAATTTTAGGTGGACAGGAATCGGACCTATTTTAAGAGAGGGGCAAGAAGGTGAACCATTATGGTCAACACAGAGTTTACAATCGAACTCTGCATGCACACCGTTTCAAGCATTCTGACCTGATAAGAAACGACAACAAGTTACAAATACAATACAATACACTGCTGTCGGTTCGCTGCCATATCCTTCAACGTCTCCAACCAACCAGTTGTAGACTCTTTCGGACTCCAACTTGGAAGACGTGTAACACCTACTCTACCTAATGACT